CCACAAGGCAAATCTCCTGAATTCGCTGACTTGCTTGGGAGTCTGACAAAAATTTCTCCAGGCACTGAAATCATGACTTAAACATATGGCTGTCAGACTAACTTAGGGCAGTTAAATTCCTGAAATAGATAGTTTTCCTAGAGGTATCAAATCTCTCAAGGTCACCCAAAGAGTTACTATCATAGTTTAGCATGGTTCATAGAGCTAATAATGAAGGTTAAGAACAGAATATCAGTCTGGTTACAGGTCTTATTAGACACAGTTTCTTTAAGTTTTTGGTTTTATTCACTTTGATAGAAAAAAAAAAAAAAAGCATAACCACATCTTTAACTCAAGTTGCTCTACATAGAGAACTGAAATAAAACAAAATGTTTTGTAATATTTTCAGTTCAGTATTAATTGATATTTGTGTTTAACTTGAATTTCAGAACATTGATAGGATTTCCTTGGCTTATGATGAAATAAACTTCCTTGAAAATCTCCTTATACACAATAAATAAAATAAAAGGCTAGTATAAAATGGATCTCCACAAGTTTTCCCTGATTCTTTTTGTCTAATAAAAGTTGTTTTTCAGTTTCAGAATTTGCTGGATCCATAAAAATGGCTTGTCTTCCAATGTTCCCTTTTTGAGCTTCTGAACTACTTTCTGCTTTAATAAAATCTAATTGTCAGAGCAAGAGATAGCAAGAGATAGCAAGGGAAGAGCTGATTAGCAAGAGCAAGAGATAGCAAGGGATAGCAAGGGGAGGATGATTTTTATTAATTAATAACTTTTTTTTTTCATTAATTTTAATTTCATTTATTTTGTATCATATTTTATTTGCTTTTAACATTAAGACTTACTATATTTTCACTAAATATTCACTGCCTTAGTGGCAAAATAGTTGAGGAGAGCTGGATGGAGAGCATTTTTTTCTCCTCCTGTTTTAGGGTTATGGTTGAATCTTAAAGTTGCTTAAACACTTTATGTCTTATGTATTATCACTTGATGAGTAAAACTTCTTTGGAATATTGAATTCACATTCCTTGTAAAGGCCAATGTTTTCTTACTTTAAGCTATAACTACATAATGAAAAAACCAAATGGTCAATTTGGGATTTCATAAATTTTGTCTGAATGTGTTCGTTCAACTGCAATTTGGCTACCATGTACAAAGACTAAATTTCACTATTTGAAAAATTTAAAGAGCCTCTCCTGGTGGTTCAGCAGTTGAGTGCTGGGCTGCCAAGCTGCCCGCAGCCTCTGCAGCACTGGTTCAATCCCTGGCTGCTGGCGAGGGTCCCACATGGCACGGCAGAACCTCTCCTGGCTCTGGTGAATTCTCTCACCCTCCTGTGCTTCTAACTGTACCCAGTGCTTGTATAAATAAACAAACAAACAAACAAACAAACAAATAAATAAATAAATAAATAAATAAATCTTAAAAAAAAGAAAAATTTAAAAATGTCCTAGGAAAAATTACATATTTTCACAGGCTATTACACTGTAAAGAGTGTGTTAACAATAACCATAGACATCACTTGTTGAAAATATGTTAATGGTTAATGGTTACCTTACTTTGAAGGTAAGATTTCAGGAATACTCCATGTAAATAGAAATTATTAATTCTCTATCACAAATAAACTGAAATTCAGGGAAGTGAGCAAATCGTAAGACCCAGAGAAAGTCATTATCTGAACTCAAATCTCACTTATGCTTCCATAGACTAAAAGATTTTAACATTTAATTTATAAGAATGTCATTTATTGTTGAAAATACTTCTGATCAGAAATATTTTCATCACTCTTATGACAGTTCTAACCCCAGACCATGTGGCAGGAATTTACCTTCCTTGCCTAATCACAAATTAATGAAATATAAAATCTAGGGCAGAGTTCAAATCCAGGCTCTGATTTGTAAGCCATTTGCATCTGGGAAAGACTTTATTCATTTTGAACCTAGGCTCTGTCTGCACACAGCATTATTGTAAGGATACAACTGCAAAGATTATGAGGGGCAAACAAACTACAGCTATCAGTTAGGTGGTAAATTCTTTTAAAAGGAGAAGAGGTATTTTGGAATCCATTCTCTCATTTTGTAAATAAAATTTGAGAATGGCTTACTTATGTTGAAGTTCTAACACTGAATATGAGTGGTGACAAATCATAAACCCATTCAATTGCTTTCAAAAGTGCACTTCACATCTTTCAAAGGCAATTATGAGCTGTCATTTTTTGTAAATGGTTGAAGTGTAGGACAAGTAAATATATCTTTATTTGTCATCTTTATTCTTTATTTAAGTTGGTATTGGATTATAAGATGTCTGATGTTGAATGTTTTTTACTCATTTAGAGCAATGTTTTCTGGGTCAATCCTGAGTTTGCATGGGGGAAAGTCTACATTTCTAAGATTTGTATGGGTCTTATATTGTTCATGATTAGTATTATTCAAAAGTAATTTTTACTCATCTTAAAATCTCTTTAGTTTCTTCCTACCCCTAACCAATATGTGTGTGTATAGTATATACAGTTATATTATATATATATATATACACATATAATTATATTATGGATACACACATATATAACATGTATAAATTAAAATGGACATTATAATTTTTTTCTCTATGAAAAATCTAGGTGAATGTTAACTAAATCAAAATTTAAAATGAATCAGGTTGAGAGAAATTTTTGGCTACTTGTAAATTCCAGTAAAATATCTAGTTTGTGCTATTTTCAACATTTAACACAAGGGCATTAATTACATTTAAATATATTTTTACTAGCAACCTTCAAAAAATGCATCCGTATCCACAAACTCATTTTCATTTCATTCCACAAAACACAATTATTGTAAACATCAAGAACTGGGAGCTATTGAACAGATGGGGCATTAACGTCTTAATGCTTGATCTCTGTTCTAGTAAATCCTTCAGTTTCACATCCTTTCCACAAATTCTATGGCCATTCAATCCATGATGAATGATTTCTAAAATGCTGCTTTGAAGTTTGTGTCACTTTTTGTGTTTTACAATTTCAGACAAATATGTAAACGCAGCTGCCCAACAGGATAAAGAGGCCACATTAAAATCCTCAATTATTTTAAACTAAGAATATCCTAATCATGCCAGAAGATTCTGCATAAACTTAACCACTTTCTTGGTACCAACATGCCTATTCTTTTTATCATTGCTGATAAGTAATCTTTCAAAACTGAGTCCCCAACTCTGACTTTTGTTTTCTTTCTACACTCTAGATACTAAATAAATGATGATGATAAAATAGATACATAATATTCATTAGTTTCACATACATTATATTAACTAAGAAAATTAGGAGTAAATAAGCATCCCTATGACTTAAAGGAGTGTAAAGACTGTGTACACACACACACACACACATACCACACAAAGTACACTGAAGAAAAACAACTTAAATGACTTAATTTTGCTGTAAAACATATACATCCTAAATTCCTTGATTTTGTTATGAAAATAGAGAATGCCTGTTTCTTCAATCAAGTTATACAGGATACAGTATCTTAAAATATCTAGTCTAGATTGTGACAGCATTTTTGATAAATTTTCCTTATTTTCTAATCTCCCCCTTGACTTTATTTTTTTTTTAAAGATTTTTTTATTTATTACCCATACAAGCACTGGGTACAGGCAGAAGCACAGGAGGGTGAGAGAATTCACCAGAGCCAGAGCAGGGAACAGAACAGGCAGAAGGACCGAAGTACACTGCTGAGGGGAGCAGGGGGCGGCAGGGGAGGTCTGTGCGCCATGTGGGACCCTCGCTGGTGGCTGGGGATCGAACCGGCACTACAGAGGCTGTGGGCAGCTTTGCAACCCAGCACTCAACTGCTACGCCACCAGGGGAGGCCCCCCCTTGACTTTAATCACAATTTCCATGTTGCCAATAGAATCTAGAGTCCAAAACCCTTCTTCAAAATTTTGAAAACTACTGATATTTGATATTTGAAAATAAGTGATATCTTTCAACTATCATTTCTCTTATCACTGAAAAAAAATCTACACTGCCCTGCTTGGGTTGATGGGTTTGACATCTGTGAACAGAAAAGACTGAAAAAAAAAATAGGTGAATCTGGGTGGCACATGAGTTGCTGATAAACTGAAAACTGTCACAGAAGGAAATTGGAAATGCCCTACTTACATGGCAATTAAATAGCCTGGCTCTCACATATACCTTTTATTCCTGATGGGCATTGCCTTGGCCTTCTGTTAATCTTATGGGAAAACACGTGTTATAAATATGCTTTTGAGAGAGTGTACGGCTCACTGGGATCTCTGTGCTTCAAACATGCGTTGTGGTTGGTTGTATCTTGGAACATACTCTTCAAAATTTCCCTGTGTGTAGTGTATGTAAAATAATCTGTCTGAGGCAGGTGTGGTAAGAAGCATTCCTTTTTGCAGAGTAGTTTAGAAATAATATATGTGTTTGGGTTAAGGTGGCATGGGAGCTAGCTTGTTGCAGCATCTTCTCTGTTAACAGGGAATTTTATGTTTCAGTTCAATCTTACGCAACATGTGGATAAGCAGAATCAGCATTATGAGTTACATGAGCACATGATGTAGAAAACTTACTGAAATGTTAGAAAAGCAGTGTTGAGATAAAGGAGAGAAGGAAATTGGCTTCCATGGGATACCTATGAGGTTTACACGAGAGGGCTATGTGATTCACATTTGTTTTCCCATAAAATATCACAACCAGCTAAGGAGGTAACATTATATCATTTTTAAAAATAAGAAAATAGGATTCAGGAAAGTTGAGCAATGTATCCATGGTCACACAGCTATTCAGTGTCAGTGACAGATATACATCCATGCACAAGGATTCATTGTGTTAAGCTAACCTGGATTCTATTTTGCAAAGATCACAGGAAAAATGATATATTTTTGATATGCAACCTGGATGAGGCAGAAAATCTCAAAGCTGATTTAGAGTGTCAAATGTTATAACTGAAACATCAGATCATTTGGTTATGTTCTTATACTTACCATGTCTCTCAGTATGCTGAATAGTCAAATGGGTCTTCCAGCCTTGTAAAAAGAATATATGTGAGTAACCTAGATGACTAAGGTATCTAATCTAAGAATTACTGTATCACTTATATCACAGTTCTTTTCTTTTTCCCAACTGAGCTAATATTTCGATATCAATTATAAAATAAGAGCAAACCCTCTGAATGTGCTAGTATATAGATGATCTTAGGATAAACAGGGAAATTAGAAAAGGAGACCAGTTCAATAAGGATAATGAAATACTCCATATAAATATCCCTGTACCTATACATAAATGTAACTAATATCATGTTTAACTGCAACCTGCACATTCATTGTTGCAGATTGGAAATGATATTTCACAGGGTAGCCACATGAAAATACACTTTCAGTGCCTACATCTGAGCCATGCAAATGCTCTTTAAAAGACCATTTATTATAGATTTTTGCTAAAGCTCATTTAATATTTCATCATTTTTATTTGTCTCCTCTTTTCCCTCACCCCAAATTATTTTGTAAATTATAAAAAGCCACAGTGAATTAATGAGAACATTCTTGCTATTTTTTTTTCATTTGGTTCACATTTAGTTGCAGTGAGTAAAAACATTTCTGTTGAAAAGAATCAGTACCACTTCTTCAATTAGGTCAGGGCTTCCTGCCATTTAAAATTGACAGAAAAAGCAAAATGTACCAGATTGCAACACTGGAACTAGAGCTATTAGACTTCCCCAAGATCTCTGGTCCTAGGTTTGACCTCAAATCCCTTCTGCCCAGAACTAGTGACTGTTTGAAGGGCCTTTGTGACTAGCCTCATAAGTCAGAAGAAAGCCCTGGAATATTAAAGAATCTTGGCACTCACCATGTTATAGTTGGACACAGTAGTTCATAAAAAGAAAAAAAAAATCTTGTGAATATATATTCTAAAAAATATTCAGAAGCAATTTTCATAAGACTCATAAGAAGATAGTCAAATACAGATATAAGATGAATAAAGCAGATTTTAACATAAGCTCACAATACAGTAAAAGAAATAAAGCAACAAAGGTGTGGTTAAGAGAACAAGCTTTGAAGTTCGAAGATCTTGATTAGTATTCCAGCATGAATTCTCTAACTGTGTGACCTTGGGCAAGTTGCTTGCTCTCTCTAATCCATAACGTATGGAATCATCTGTAAAATAAATATATTAAAATTAGCTCTCACAGACAAGTTTTGAAAATTAAATGATTTATGTAAATTGGCTAGTACATTATCTGGCACCAAGTAAACACTTTAAGACTGTTAAACATCATACTTATTATTATTGCAACAACTTTGATCAGATGTAAACATAAATTGAAGGGACTTATTCCACTGGGTAAAAGACAAACATACAAAAAAGATAAGAATATCAACAATTATTTATAAGATTCAATATAACAAGACTATGTCAAGTAATTTATTTCTTTGTCATTAATTTCTTTTATTTCTGGTTTTATGTGCAGATGTTAATGATACCTTAGATAGGAAAAAATAAACACATTCATAATTTAGAGTTGTAATTCCTTGTTTTGGAAGAGTCAAAATATCAGTATTTTATATACCCAAAATTTATTTATAAAATTTACCTGTTAAAAACATAGATGTCCCAACACAAATTATGTATGCATCATGCAGTAAAAACTGCCCAGTGAGTATTGTTAGCATCTTAAACAGAGAAATACAGTATGGACATTTCCATATGCACTCTTAAGTTTTAAGATAAACCCTAAAATTATTTGTAAATATTTGTTTTAAGTGATGTGTATCCTATTGGATAGTCACCTAACACTCTTGGTCAGAAGTTAGATGTTCTCAGACGTTATTGTTCAAATGATGGATGTTGCAGTAACTTTCCTTGAAAAAGACATGATCAGTAGAGTGATTTGGGTGTATGTCAATAGATAAAGGGTATACAGTTACTCTTGATTTATAGAGTAAAGTAAAAGGAGCTTTTCTCCGAAAGAAGAAAAGATTAAGAAATTGCATCTGGGGGACTATTAGTCTTTGTTGAAACAAAACAAAACTATGCAATGGCATTATATGGGATGGCATTGGGTCAGGTAAGAAAATGTTAACAAATGATTTCAAAACATTGCCAAAATCAGTTTTATACTTAGAACTATTTGACAAATAAGTAGATTAAAGGGTAAGCAAATAAAACAATGACTGGATAATGTCATATGATGAAGCTCTGTTCTTTAGTGGCTATCTTTAAGAATACATTGACATTGGTTGAGTCTGACCAGAGCAAGCTCCTCCTCCCTAGAAACAGGGGATGTTTCTCAAATCTCTCTCCCTAGATTCATTTCTGAAATAATTTCCCAATAATACTTGCCTTCAAAAACACATAACCGGGCTTCCCCTGTGGCGCAGTGGTTGAGTGCTGGGTTGCGAAGCTGCCCGCAGCCTCTGCAGCGCCGGTTAGATCCCTGGCCAGCGGGCGAGTGTCCAACATGGCTCACAGATCTCCCCTGCCGCCCCCTGCTCCCCTCAGCAGTGTATTTCATCGGTCTGCCTGTTCTATTCCCCTCTCTGGCTCTGGTGAATTCTCTCACCCCCGCCCCCCCCCCCTGCGCTTCTGACTGTACCCAGTGTTTGTACAAATAAATAAATAAATCTTTAAAAAACCAAACAAACAAAAAACACATAACCAAGCTCAACTTTAAATGTGGTCTTCAATTTTACATTCCTTACAATTGCAACCACCTGCCTTAAGTTTTCATCATATAAGCTGCTTGCATCACATCACAGGGTCATGAAACACTTGTAGAATCAAAACTCTGTAAGTGGTATGGACTGACCATTTTAATTTTTTCACTTGACTGGGCTCTGCCTCCACTCAAAACATCTCTTCTGCTGCCACTTCTCTTGCGTGAAAGGGCTAGGTAAGTTAGAGCTCATTCACCATAGGCATCACAGGGAGCCACCACTTCTTCCCAGCACCTTTCCTCTAGAGTGGGCACGAGTGCTGAAAGGGACAGCTCCCGTGCTCTGGTCATTTTAAGTACTTTTCCCAGGAAGACTACACTCACCTCCTTTCTGCTACACACCTCCATTCACAAAATCCGAGAACCTCAGTCATCCCTGATGCCTTGGAAATTTCGTGAGACTGATGCTGAGACACACCCTCATTCCCTAAGTGTATAATTATACGTGGGTGGAGAGCCACCAGGGAGGGTAAGAGGAGAGGGCAAAGAGGAAAAAAAAAAATTTAAAGAAAGGAGACGGTAGCTTTGTCCCGACTTCTAAAAACCCTTCTGTTAATCTCTCCTCCCCCACTCCCATTTTCCTAAATCCGAGAATGACTGAGTTCAAGGCAAGGGGACGGGTTCCGGAAATGGAGATGTGAATTTCAAGCCTAGAAATGAACGGAGCGATTTATTTAAAGTTGAATACTCCTCGTCCTAAGAAACCAGCGCAATTCATGTTTAAAGAAGCCCGTGTTTTCTCCAACATCACAAAAACCGAAAACAGTTGCCACCAAAGACCAAAAAAACATTCTGAGCGCGTTCTCGCTGTCCTTTAAGCTCAGACAGAAGGTGGGGTGGAAGCGCTCACAACCTGTGAAAGTGCGAAGGACTCTCTACACCTGGTGGCCAAATCCCTGCTGCCCAGAACTCTCCCCTACCATCTCTCATCTTTCGTGACTGTGCAAGGCACAGGGATTTAGACATGTATGTGGGAGTGCGTGTGAGGGAGGGAAGCGAGAGGACGGTGTGTTCTCCACATGTGTAACCCTGCATCTCCCTGTTCCCTAGCTTGCATTTATTCACAAGCATTCATTAGTTAAATATTTGATCAAAGGTGGAATATTTGCAATGAACAGCTTTCTTTTTAATGGACACACCTTAAACAGGGTACAGAAATTCAAAGTGTGAAGATTCTGAGTGTAGTACCTTTCTACTTCCCTCCCCCTATTTCTACTCCACCCCCCCAAAAAAAAAAGGGGAACGCTTGCAGCAGATTGTAGAAGGATTTGAGTCTGCAGCTAGAGAGAAGGGGATTAGGGCCAGAGCGGTGCAAGTTAAATTGTGCTGCATATAAAAAATGGGCGGATTGGTCTCCAGCTCCAGAGGCTGGTACCACCTTCCTTTCTAAAATAAAATCTCTCTGGCATGAAGTCACCGCCTATTTCACATCCGGTTTGCCCTGGGACGTATTACTACTGTCTTGGTAAAGAGAAATCTTTTGTTGTATAGCTGCAGATTGGAGATTGGGAAGCAAATTTGGGTGTGAAATCCTCAGCAAAGGCGCACGCAGAGTCCATGATGGCTCAGACCGAGTGAGTGAGAGGCAGAGCGAGGACGCCCCTCCGCTCCCGGCGCGCCCGACGCGCGGACTCGCGCTGGCTCCAGGCTCTCCACGATTTTCTCTCGCAGACTTTTCCCGGGTCTTGAGCGATCCTGTGCCCAGAGGGGGCCCGAGGTAAGTGCGGCTTCGGACCGCAACACAGTGAGCTTTGAACGTGGCTTTTCCTAGCCGGAGAGACGGGAATGCTAGAGTGGGGGAAAAAAAGAAAGCGGGAGAGGATTAGAGCCTGATCCCAGAGCAGGTAGAAACAACGAATGTTTTTCTTTCAGGGTGAAAACCGCAGCGATACAGGAAGCATTATTTTCTCCCCCTGCCTCTTCTTTTCTTGCCCCCATTCTTAGGCAGATTTGAATTTTTTTCCGCGGGGTGGGTGGTGACACGCCGTTTTAGTCTTTTTTTTTTTTTTTTTCTCTTTCCCTCCCACCCCCCTTGCAGGAGGGAGCTGGGATGAGGTGGGGAGGGGCGTCGGGGGGCATAGTGGAAAGTTCAGACGCTGGGACAGAAAACCTGTCTCAGCGTTCCAGCCTAGGGAAGGCAGTCTCGTTCTGGCTGCACAGATCCCTCTTTCTCCTTTACAGTGGACGCTGCTGAAATGCCCTCTGGTGTAGGGGTCTCTCCCATTCCGAACACGAAAAACTCAACTTCCATTTGATGTGGATGGCCCGGGATGTGGGCGTCTGGAGTGTGTGTGTTTGGGGGGAGGTGGAAGGTGGAAGGGGTATGGCTGCTTAGTGCTTCTTTTAGACTATTATGTTTGTATTTGCAAGAAACTTTCTCACTCAACAACTCAAGTGCCACGACAGGCTTGTTTTTCTCTTTTTCAAATGTCAGAGGAGGACAAAAAACTGATACTTTGCCTCGGGGTTATGGTTTGTTTCATTTGTCCCTTCAGGAATTACCCCCCTTCAACAAAGACCAACAAAAATTAATAGGGTAAGAGGAATTGTTTTTCCTTCATAATAGATGTTGAAGATTCATAAAAGGGTGAAATTATAATAGTGCAATTTGGATGCAATATTTTAACATAATGGTAGCTATCCAAAATTTCTTGTCCTATTCAACTCATCTGTGTCAAAACCCATCACTACATTTAGTATAAGCCATGATGAGGTTCACAGCTCTTACCTCTAGATCTAGACAATTTCTCTCTGAACACATTGTTTCATAGCTTACATGTCTGTTTATAATGGTTTTTACTGATATAAATGATCCCTGAGTGTATTTAATATTTGTGTAGATGTATCTAAAGGCACACCACATTAAATTATAGGGTACATGATAGAAACTATGCTTTAAAAGACTAGCAATCCATTAATCACTGATCCTACTAGGGAGTTAGACATTCAGGGAAGTGCTATCAAATACCTTGAACAATTCATATCATGACTGGAATTAATTATAGCACATTAAAATAAAATGTTACTATATCTGCTCCTTAATCAGGTAATTCACTGATTTCTAAAAATTGACTCTACAAATAGATTATGATTTTTAAAAACATTCTCTAAGATTTTCATACTTCTCCATCCCTCCAGCACCCCACTATCAAGTCTAAATTCAACAATCAGATGGTGATTGATTGCACTTTACCTAAGAGGAAAAAGATTCCCTTATTCATGCAAAGCAAAGCACTCCAGCTTCCATCTGTTTGAGATAAAACATTTTCTAACAGCAACCTGGCAGAATTCAAGAGGGCTTAAAAGATATGTGTGGGCATGTTTTGTGCATTTATGTGAGTGTGGTTTGTGTGTGAGAGAGATGAGCACATGGCTTGACTATAAAGTGCGTCCTTTAGCCTCACAGGAACATCAGTGAGCATATTTAACAAGGCAATCACAAGCAGAGAATATAAGGACGACTTCGGCATTCAACAATGTGTTTTCTATTTTTTTTTTAAACATAAATACAGTTGCTGCTATAATCAAGGTACATCCAGAATGCACAGATGTATTCAGTCATCAAAGTATATTAACTTACCCCATCCCACTCTGCAAACATGCACTCTGTTATCGACACAGCTTAAAAATTTCAGTGCACAGTTCAGTTGTGGAAACTCAGAACAGAAAGGCCAAAATTTTCAGATGGTAAACAACAAAGGGTGTATCCAAACTATACTGGAAATATGAAACCTAGAGGGGGGGAAAAAAAAAAAAACTCACAGTTTTTATGTTGAGCAACATTGTCACCTGAAAGCATTTTAACTTGTATTCTTTTACAGGCAATATTAAGACACCAAAATATTTCTGAATGGAGAAATTGAAGGGAAAGTAGAGAATGGATGGTCTAGGTTTCCATTGCTTCCAATGAGGTGTCATATCCCAGTGAGGTCATTTCCTGACTTCAAAGCTTCATCTGAACTGCCTCAGTCAGCCCTAGTGGTTATAACCTGATGTTTCTTGCAAGAAACATTGATCTCTACTTGTTCTACTTTTCAGCTGCACGAGTCCGCCATGAAGAGAAGTCTCGGTCTCTCTGATTATCTTTGGGCCTGGACCCTCCTTCTGAGCACAGTGACTGGAAGAAGGTGGGGACAATTTATTTTAAATCTGCATGAGAATTTCTGAAACTTTTCATATATTCTATCAGGGGGAAGAAAACTGTCCTTGGATGAATTCATGACTAAGGGAATTCAAAAAACTTAACTGCAATAAAATTCCAGCTAAGAATAAAGAAGAAATATATGAAAAATAAATAATCATCTTATTTGAATGTTCGTTAGAATACACTTAACATGCCTTTGTTAAGGAGTGTATTACTTTAACATCTATGTCTTAAATTGAACTTCTCACTGTTCAGTGGTAACTTAACCAAACTTGCGGTCTCCTAATTCATAGCAAAAGTGACCCCAGTTGATGTTTGCATCCTATGACAGTGTCACTTAGAAGTGGAAAGTTTAAAATAATATTTGAAATTTGAAAATCCAAGTCTCTATAAATGTGAATTTCATGTTTTGAAACCATTTTTTATGTAACCAACAGAGGTAGACTATACCAGACATCTATTTAAAAACATTAGATAAAAATTGAACTTCATTTATGCATAACTAACTCTGGTATAAGTTCTAAGAAAAATGTAGTAATAAGCTTACCCATACTCAAAATATTTACTAATGATCAAATCAAGCCGACAAACATATTACAATGGTAATGATGTAAATGACCAAACAATTCAGATTATTTTTTATCTTTTACATTTCTAGTGTAGTCCACTCCTATGGCTGATAAATAAGTCTTAGCCTATTATAAAAACTTAAGAGTCATCAAAATGAAATGGAAAGTGAACCCTTATGAGATGAAGCAGAAAAATGGAAAAGTCTGGAAAGATGTGAATTTAGGAGGATTTCTTAAACTGAAAAGTTATCCGTTATTATTTTTTTGGCTATTGTGTGTGGTGAATAACCACTGCCAGATGAACAGGAAATGCATTATGGCCAGATACTCTTAATCTTAGGAGTTAAAAATTCTTCCCTGCTTTTGAAAAATTATATGAAGTGTTACTATTGTAATGACCTGTAGATGGAGTTAGTGCACAGTGTTTTATTATATAGTGGTTCATATGGAATCAAAATCAGGTACTGTAACTGACATTTCTCTTCAAATCGTACATTCAGTTTAGGAAACATTACATTGGCATGAGTGCTTAATACCAAATAAATAATCTTGATCTTTGTCCTAAGGTTCTTCTCTGACAATTACAGTTGACATAGTAAGTTAGAAGTAAAGATGAAGAACAACTGGGTTATAAAATCACATCAAGGAAAGATTAGCCATTGCAAGTGGAAAAGCGGAGCTGGTTTTCTGGGAGGGGGAGAGGGAAGTCCTTTTGACCTTTGTATTCCAATGTAAATGGCTGGAATGCAGCATCTATGAGATAAAACCAGGAAAAAGCCATTTCCTTAATTTGACATATATTGTGCAAGCAAAGGGCCTGCAGGCAAAGGTAACAGACAGCTCCATATTCTAGCCATTATATTAACAATTTAATTGTAGTCCTTCATGTCATACCACCTCATCTGGCCCCACTTCTTATTTCACTCCTTTCTTCCTCAGACTACTTGATCAGGTTCTCCTCACAACTTAAGGTGTGCTAGCATTTCTTTTCCACCTTTATCAAGATGACCTTCCAATATCCTTGAAAGATGCATGCACAATACATGGTTTGTGACAAGGAGTTTTTATAAATAATTGCACTCAGAATAGGATATTTTGCTTTATTGGTGTCATCTGCTAATGAGACACCCTGGAAGACAGAGCTCATTGAAAATTTGATTTCAAAAACCAGCAAGATGCTTAATTTTGCCAAAGGAGAGTAAACCTTCATTCTGCATAGTATTGATGTTGAAATTAGGAGTATGAAAATTTGTTTTATAGAGGTGTATTTCATGTTTAATATTGTGAATAGTTTTAGCTAACATAAATTTATTAAATTTAAATTTTATCAGAAAAATGGCCATTGCATTTTGCCAGTATAAAATTACCTACAAAATTGTGTTTATTTTTGAAATACTTTGATTTTTTTTCTTACTCCTGTCAAATCCTGGTTTCAAATGTCACTATTGTTCTTAGATTTAGTTATAATATAAACACGCAAGTGAAATCAAAAGCATGTTCACTAGAATGTGAGAAAGTGATATTTTGTGGCAGTATCTTAGTTTACACCCTGTATGCCTTTTTTTTTCCCCACTCAGTTAAAGCAGTCATTGAAATCAATCAGTGAGTATGATCCATCCTATGACAGAAACTCTTTCTTCAAAGAATTTTGGAGGTGCATACTAAGCATTACATACCATGTGAATCAAGGATAGATAAAATGACATTGATGGGAGAAACCCGCGACATTTGAACTGCGGTCACTACATAATTGAAACTAAAAACTAGAACTAATGAGGGCTAAAACTACACGTAAACTAGAGAGATTTATAAAGAAACAAATACCCCAATATAGAAAGATGGAAATAAAGTTTTAGACTAAAAGTTGAAGAAAACTGGGGTCTAGCTGTGTTCCTTAAACAAAACCCTAAATTGGCACTACAGCTTAAAAAACTACGAATTAAGAAAATACTGAGCCACAGTTTTTGAAGGTATCTTTTACTTCTAAGATCAGACACAACAAAATTTCAATTTATTAGAGGTTTGAGTAGACAGATTATAAAATCTGTTTTCATAAACTCTAAATGGAATGAATTTGCACCAATGTGCAAATGTAATAATCCCAAGTAACACATTTTATCCATTTTTCTCATCTAAATATCTTGAGAAAACATTAAATAACAAAGTGCCTACATATAAAGTGGGGAAGAACATTAGTAGATAAAACCTTAAGCTTAAGCCACATGTTAAATTTAATGAAAACAAAACTATTAGTGATTTTGGTAGTTCACAAACATATATTTTTGGGAGAGAGACGTTTTCCAGATTTCTTCTTTATCCTACCATGCATTAACTTTTTGCTTGCTCCATGAAGACATGCATTACTGCACTGCGTACATACTGAGAAATACAAAATTAGAGACAAAACTCATTTCCTATAATTTTCCTTCCATAGTTAGAAATGTTAAAGACCTTATTGTCTAAGAGAAAAAATATGACAAAATTGTAAAATTTAAAGCATTACATTTTTTAACTTTACAGAAAGATTATTCAAATTAAGTTTCAATAGAAAGCAAAGTAGAAAAATCTGGAGCAGGCTTTATTTTAAAACGTTGAAATGAATAATATAGATATCGCCTCCCCCCATGTCTTTTTCAGTTATGGACAACAGTCATTACAAGATGAACTCAAAGACAATACTACTGTTTTCACCAGAATTTTGGACCGACTCCTAGATGGTTATGACAATCGCCTGAGACCAGGATTGGGAGGTGGGTTGTATTATTGTATTTTTATTTTAGAACAAAGTATTAAAACTTTACTATTAAAGCCTGCTTTCCTTCTAAATGGTAAAGTAGTAAGAATGGCAGCATGCAGTTTAATAACTAACCCTATTTTTAATAGATTGTGCAATGTAAATTAAATTCATCCTGATAGTTTCATGCACATATCCATATTTAGTAAAAGGCAGATACACACTTCTCCTAATGCCATGAAAAAAAAGTTACATTTACTTGACAATTACATTATGTGTAATGATTTTATTACACTGAGGAAAATGGGTGTAATATTTCCCGTAGCCGAAAAACTGTATCTTTTTGATTTGGCTTTGCTGTGTCTGCATTGAATTCAAGTAGAATATCTTTGAATTTGTTGTTATAAACATTTATTTTGGAATATCACATACTGACCTACTATTTTGTGCTAGAATGCCACCACCTCTGGGATAAAATGAATTTTTTAACCATGTATTCAAACTTCAACCCTGATTTTTGTAGTAAAATTTGATTTTTCTTGTATACTAGTTAATTGATTATATTAATGAATTTCCACTTGGAAGACAGCACTTAATAGTAAAATATTACACACTTATTGAATAGTCCTTGGATAAGATAATCAAGCTACCTTATTTAAATAAAAACTAATGGAGCCTAAACAAATAATGATCTCAGAGCAAAATAAGTTTAAGCAAGGAAATAAATTCATTCAAAGTAACATAGGAAACCAAGGTTATGACTCCTAGTTGTAATTAATGTTGTATTTTTCCGGAAGCATTTGTAGAAACTAATCAATTGCAATATTTAAATTATAATTAAATGATGATATTAAGACAGCAAAGATGTACAAAGAATAAGAAGCTTAATAATTCGAATTTTGATTACCAATTAATGCTAACATGGATTTAGGGTCACTTTGTATTACTACTTTGGGTAATGTAATCAAGTGGATGGCATTTTGCACCTCTGTTGAGGATGTCAGGTGCCACTAGTGGCTCAGATTTAAGGAAACTGCTTTGTCAAAGATACTGCTCAAATATCTGTCAATGGTCTTATCAGGTGTCCTTTCTGGTCAATTTCAAACATTAATTTTAGGACATGCTATACAAATTTCTTTGGGTTTATATTTGGGTTTATAGTCTACCCAAACTTTTCTTTACTGACTTTTTAGACAAATATTTAAGGAATAATATTTATTGGCCACAAAATGGATGATAAAATTGTGCATGCGATATATTAATATAATGTTGGTATATATCTAAA